GAAGAGCTCAAAAGCTATGTGCATATGACCATATAAGATGATATTAAGTGAAATGAACCCCAAGATAGGGACACAAGTGGATTTTTCTTTCTTGCTATTGTTTTTAACATATTTATAATGTACTGTGTGATTTTATTTGTTCTTTCGTATGTTCCCCCTCTCCCCCATGGTATAACCCCTGTTTTCACTGTATTTGATTCTGGTGCCCTGCATCTTGTGTATACATTTTTCTAATTTGGGGAGGGGAAGGGAAAAAACAAATGCTTAAATAGGGATACAGATTGATCCATTATAACAATGATATGTACAAGACACTATGTTGAAAATGAACTTTACAACTTCAGGTGCGGTGGGGGGGGTGGGGAGGTGGAGAGGGAAGGGAAGGTAAGGGACAAGCAAAGGAGAGGTAACAATGCTCAACAGGAAATGTACTCATTATCTTATTCATGTAACTGTAACTTCTCTGTACAGTATCATTACAATAAAATAGATATAAAAATAAAAATTAAAAAAGTTTAGATAGAACCAAGCAAAGATTTAACTCTTAAGATTGGGAGCACATACAATTAAAACAAATTACATTGCTCCTGCTATTAAAAAGATATTATAATATTTACCACTACTATATTTTATCCTCATAAAATTAAATTTAAATTTAATTTGATTTAATTTTTGTTTAATTATCACTTCTATACTATTGCCTAATTTTATAATACTAAACTTATTGTTGGGAGCGTATTCAAAACATAGGTAAAAATGAAAACATAATTTAGAGAGCTATTGTGTACCTAGACCTGTGGACAAGACAGCAGAGCAGAAGAAAACAACAAAAACAAAAAACGTATGTCATATAGCTAAGGTACAGTGAATATCATTGTAGTGAGTCAGTGAGCAAAGAATATGCAGAGTCGTGGTTACTCCAGGTATCTGCTGAAGCATGAGTGAATGTAAACAACATCTCATGATTACAATCAGAATAGCTCTCAAGAAGCTCCTCTCAGCAAGTATACACATATCTGTGTTATTCATTACTATCTACTTGTGAAAACAATGCAAAGTTTTATCTTTTGCTATAGAAACAATATGCCACATTATTTTCATGTCTTAATATAGAACAAACAAAGATGTTCATGAAATTGTCTGGGAATTTAGCTATTTCAGAAATATAGTCTAGAAATAGTTAATTTCAATCTGATGTGCCAAAAGTAGTGATTTTCTTGAACATATGTTTTATAATTTTGGGAGGAAATAGGATGGAAGTAGTAGCTTATGGAAGATGTATTCATTATATACAATAGGAAAAACAAGTCAATCTTAGGCATCAGAATTAAAAAGTCATTGTTTCTAGTACCTAAGGAAAGATCTATTTGTTTTAGCACTTAATTTATTTTTAAAAATAAATTAAGAGTCAGATGCTGGTGGCTCACGCCTGTAATCCTAGATAATCAAGAAGCTGAGATCTGAAGATCGTGGCTCAAAGCCAGCCAGGGCAGGAAAGTCCATGAAATTCAGAAATAGAGCTGTGGCTCAAGTGATAGAGCACTAATCTTGACCAAAAATGCTCAGGAACACTAACTAGTTCAACCCCCAGGATTAGCACTAACACAAAAAATTAAATTAAAAATAAAAAAAAAATTTTCAGCATTTATTCAAGATCTTAAAACATGTAGAAGTGGAAAAGGCTCACGATGGCTTCTGCATGCATTATCTGCCATCATCTGGCTCCCAAGATACCAACACATTTCTTCCTTCTGTTTCTCTTTGGTAATTTTTAGTTCATCAATCACATTAAGCTAGAAGGACATGTAACTATTAAAGTACTTTCTTTGGACAAACACTCTTAATCAATCCAAACTTCAGTTACTCAGAGATTGTTTTCATCATGATTAAATGAGTTAATACATGAAAAGTACATAAAATAGTTGTAAGCTAAAACATTGTCAATAACTGTGATCTATCATTTATTTATTTTTAAATTTTTTTTTGGAAAAACCTTCGTACCAATCGAAATTACTGTGCATATACTGTGAAAAAGAAGGTCAGAGCTTTGTCCTGCCCCTGTCAGAGTATTTCATGTCCTCTACCTGTGTATAGAACTTACTGGATTGTACTTAAATACCAACATCAGATTGTGTTATTGTAATAGATATAAATTAAAATGGCCTCATTTCTCTAAAGTATAACCATCGTGGCTGTTTTATTTTATTAAATATGATGCTCGGTTGAAAAATACAAATGCTATTTCTTTGTGTAAAAAGTGATTTAGCCAGATCTTGGTGGCTCACATCTGTAACCGTAGCTTCTTCTCAGGAGGCTGAGATCTAAGGATTATGATTCAGAGCCAGGCTGGGCAAGAAAATCTGTGGGACTCTCATCTCCAGTTTACCACCTACAAAACAGAAGTGGACCTGTGTCTCAAAATAGTAGAGCGAAAATGCTCAGGGATAGCACCTAGGTACTAAGTTCAAGCCCCATGACCGACAAAGATAAAAGATGGCTCTCTATGAAATTATTTGTTATAATTCCTACAGTAAAATTATACTGAATCTGCTGGGTTCTTTGCGGAAAGCATTGCTTACTCAGTATAGAATACGTTCTGAATATTATGATATTACTGTAATTATAAATTATCAGTGTTATAATGGGATAAAAATTCTTTCTTTAAATGATACAGAAAGTTTCACATATTTTCTCATGTTTTAACGAAAAGTTAAAGAATGTGTATTATAGAAATTTATGAAACTGTTTACAATGTCTAATATCTATTAACAGAATTATACTTTAACGTATTGACTGGTGTGTCTACTGGGTACCAGCAACTGTGCTAAGTGTTGAGATTACAGATAGAAATAAAACACAAACATATGAAGAAATTTCAGCATATGCAATAAGATATATTTTAGGAATGTAGCCAACATTAGTAGAGTTATCTAGAAGAAACCACCCTAATGAGGAGTTTCTGGAATATACAAATTATGCAAAAAAATAATTCTCGACACATAAGCATCAAAACAGGGCATAGGTTGATTAGGATAAGGGAAGGGAGTTGAAGAGAACTGTCAAAAGCCAGTAAAGCAGAGGAAACCTTGTGACACTTTGAAAGAATGAGCAAATTGGCCAATGAGGAAGCATTTGAGAACCTGGACAAGTACCTAGTTTTGAAATTATGTAAGAATCAACCCTTGGTATCTCCTGCACGCCTATTGGAACTTTGAACTTTTCTGAAGGTAAAGAAGACTTTTGAGGGCATGAGCTTGTCAGCAAGGTTTTGTTTTCCCATTTGCCTTTTAGAAAATTCTGTGGCAGCAAAGTTAGAGATAGGTTCAAAACCTGATGAGGGGAAGGAAAACCAACTAGAAGGCAACTACACCAAAAATTTTATGAATTATGGTAATAAATGTGAGACTGGAAAGGAGAATTGGGTCTTTCGGATTTTATTTGGAAGATAAAATTGGCAAGATGTACTGAGTCAAAGCAGTCTAAATGAGAGAAGAATCAGTTGTAATGTCTCAAACTTAGTTTGGTGGTATTGTTCACTGCTATAGTGTTGGGGAAATATTATCCTATGTGTTAGTTTTTGCATATCGAGATGTCCAATGCAGTTTTCCATTAGAGGTAATCAGTTGTCTGTTAGAAAAAGAGATTTAAATTTCTTTAAATCATCATAGAATATATAGAGCAGAGACATGAACTCCTATGATGACTTACTGTGAGCATGCGTATTATGGGCATGTATGTGTTATACAGTATCTAAGTAAGGAAAAACTGAATTACAGGCAACATAAGAAGTTGCCAGAAAAAAAGTGGTAATTTTAAAAGGTTCTTCAGCTATAGGAAAGAGGAAATGAAATAAAATGTCTTATCCCAGGTGGTTAAGACACCAAGACCTTCATGTAAGTATGGGAAATGGCTAAAGGCAGAAACATCAAACTGCCAATAGTGACCAACTCCCAGATGAGCAGGGAATTCTGATTTGGTATTTGAATTGAAATATAAATATATTGTATTTTGTGCCTGTATAATTTTGTACTATTGTAACTCCCATGAGCTTGTGGTATTAAAGAAGCAAAACTTCAGTGTAAGTTGTAGTCTTGAAGTGTAAGTTATAGTCAATGGTAAATGAAACAAGCTTGATCATCATAGAAGAAAGAGGGAAAGGGCAACATGGAGTGGTCGACAATGTCACATTGCAGGTAGGTTAAAAAAAAAAGATAAGGCATGACAGGCACCTTTTAGCTTGATATTTAGATTTGGCCACAAGTGACCTTATTAAAAGTGATTCCAATGAAATACTAAGGGCAGAGGGTTTGCTGTAGATGTTGGAAAGTGGAAAGTGATAACATGAAGAGGAGACATTCCCCATTATAAAGGAGAAAAAGGAGTGTGAGGGAGAAAGATTGCTTAGACCAGGACGTAGGGTCCAATGTGAGTAAACTTTTTGCTCAAGATATTTGTGGTGGGGGAGGAGACCCATGCAAGCTGCCCCCTCACAGGTGATTGTGAGTCACACAGGAAGGAGTCAGCCTGCACGGTTGACCTGTCTACCCCCTAGGCAGTTCAGATCTTAGTTGTTCTAATCTCAAATTTTGTTAAACCAAGATTTACATGTTTTATGACAAAGTAGGGAATTTCATTAGGAAGGTATTCTGGAGGGAAATGACCCAAACTGATGTTTGTGCACCTGTCAATTACTCTAATGTGAAGAAAAGAAGTAGAAGTACTTATTAAAGGGACGATACTTTTATAGTGATTTTCTGAACTGCTTTATTTGTACCTGACAAGTACCCTAAAGTACAGAAACAAGTTGAGGTATACTTTTAATTTGACAATCAATCCAAACTTTTTACAAGACTGAGGTTTCATTTAAAAAAATGTATAACTGCACATATTCCTAAGGCTTTGCTAATTGATGTCTTTAAATACGTAAATGTGCACATTAGAAGAAAGTCAGATGCAATAAACAAGCTAGTAACTCTCTCCTTTTTTTCTTTCTTCTAAAGCCGGACAACAACCTATCCTTACACAGAAACACAGATGTACAGCCAAAACACTGGAGGGAATTACTTTGATACCCAAGGGAGTTCTGCACAGGTGACAACCGTGGTCTCCTCCCACAGTATGGTGGGCACTGGTGGGATTCAGATGGGCGTCACAGGGGGACAACTCATCAGCAGCTCTGGAGGAACTTACCTGATTGGCAATTCCATGGAGAATTCTGGTCATGCAGTGACACACACAACCCGAGCCTCCCCAGCGACAGTAAGTGTTTGAGTTTTTATGGAATTTAGTCTTTCGTAGTTTCCATAGGTCTCTTTTTCCCTATAGAGGAAAAAGAACTACCAAGAGGAGAGGGACAGCAGGGCCCTTAAGTGAGTTTAGTGTGGTGGTAGTATGCAGAATTTAGCCTATATAGATGTAATCTTATTCAGAACTTTACTGATATGTATGCCCTCCAGTTAAGTAAACTGTGAAGTTCTTTATTACCAATGAATGCTATGTTAGAAAAAGGTGGTTTTAATTCATTCTATTATTAATTTTAATAGGCTTCAGTGCTATTCATCAAAACACTTCTAATTTTTATAAAATGAACTTACTTTTACATTGTACTTATAATAAAAATCTAGTCAGTAAAATGGAGAGGGTAATATTTGCACATATTTTACCCGTAATATTTAATTCGTGGACTGCTGCTTGTGCTACTACGTATTTTTAAACTGACTCACTTTCAAACTAGAAAGTGTGATACATACTGATACTGATACTTAATAAAAATGTTTATCCTTGTGCTGCATGTAAAGCCATATTGCCTGCTCTGCCAGAAAAACACATTGGAATTTAAGGGACTCAGATGAAAGAAATTGTAGATTCCATTTGTAGCTATGAGCAAATAATACTTAAGGATGTCCCCTTCATAGTTGAGCTCTCAAGATTTTAAAGTTTAACATTTGACACAATATTTAATTTTTATTTTTAACACAATATGCTTTCATGTAATGATATAAAAATAATCATAGAAAGGCACACAGAATTCAGTAACATCACTCTGTAACCTGAGCTAGGAAACTGAATCAAGTAGATGTACTCTCTTCTCACTATCTCTCTCTGTACTTTGTGGTTTAAATGAAATAAGGCAGAAGGAAATTTGAAAAGAATGGGAATAAATTTGGAGAAAATAATAAGTGAGAGATTTTTCTCTCTCATTTAATGGATTTTCTTCAAGATGTAATGTGTATTTGGTAAGTACTTAGCTAGCATGTATTTCGTGTGTCTTGTGATTATATTCATTAATATTTTCACCATTTATTACATTTTCCTCATATCCAATATTTAAAGCCCTCATTCTTAATTTACTCGTTGCTAACATTGGAAACAACGACTAGCTGTTCAGAGTAGCAAATTCTTAGAAGTTCTTTCTTTCTTTCTTTCTTTGCTGGTCTCCAGTGGCTCAAGTCTATAATCCTAGCTACTCAGGAGACTGAGATCTGAGAGTCACAGTTTGAAGCCTGAGATCTGAGAATCACAATTGGAAGCCAGTCTATAAGGAAAGTCTGTAAGGAAAGTCTATAAGACTCTTATCTCCTAGTAACCACCAAAACACCAGAAGTTGAGCTTTGGCTCAAATGGTAGGGTACCAACCTTGAACAACAACAACAAAAAAATTAAGTGACAGTGCCCAGGACTGAGTTCAAGCCATAGTAGTGACACACACTGTTTTTCCTTTGTCTTTTTGAAGCATTTCTCTTGTGAATTTGTCTGTTGTTATTCATAGTATTAAATACAATATTTCTAAACCATTCAGTAATACCAGTATTTTTATACAGATTAAAAACTAAAGAAAATTGCTGGTAATAAATCCTAGCATATTTGGATCCTAGTTCCCCTATAAAAATGGTGTTCTCTGAGCTTTCAAATCCTTTACTAACGAATCATAAAGTATCAACAGATAGAAAAGTAACATTATCTTTACAAGAGGAAAAGACGTTAAAAATTTTAGTGCCAGCACCCCAGCAAAGGCCACCAAAGAAATTCTTTCCAAGGGAAAATAAAGTACCTGCTACTTATCAAAGCCTTAGAAGGACAGAAAAGCAGAGTGAACGTGTCTTTTCCTATTTTGTTAGGCCGCTCTTTCATATTGACATACCATACACCATCTTTCTGACTGCACCCTTTCCTACTTCATCTTTTTTAGCCCTTTCTACTTGCCTTCACATGTTTTTAGCTATCCAGACATCCATAGCAATTGGCTTTATGTGTAGTAAACTTATTATTTCTATTACAAAATTAAACTTTATCGATAGAATCATACAAATGTAGTTGTAAATGTTGGCAAGTTCAATTTTATAGGGTTTTGTTGAAGGGATACCTTTTGATGTTGTACATTGAGTATGAAAAGTATCATGATTGGTACAGAATTAGATTGTCGAAACTGGAAATAATTGAAAACTGTAAATACCAACTGTACATACTAATTTACTTTTAAGATACTCATATTTCAGGATATTTATTAACTGCAAAGCTTGAAGTTATTTCGACTAGGATTATTTTATTATAAAAGAATATTTTTGAGGTGTGGGGGTTTGGAGGAATGGTTCAAATCAAATGGTAAGAAACCTGCCTACCAAATATGAGATCAATCCTTGGTACTATCAAAAATATTTGAAGAAAAATATTTACTTCATAAAATTAGCCTCTATTAGAGAGAATGAATTCTTCCTTTTAAACAAAAGTAGTATAAACATTGAATAGAGAGATAATTTTTGTGACCTTATCAACACACACACACACACACACACACACACACACACATACATACATATATGCTAATATTTAGTGTATTGCCTTGCATTTATTATTAAACCATATATTTGATTTGGTTCTTTCTCTCAATTGTGCAGATTTTTCCTTGTCTTGATTTCACAGTGAGATTTTTCTTTGTTTACAGTTTCATGTTGCTAAAATCAAGTTAACAAAATTTAAATATGATGCTATTTAAAGTCTACCATTGGCAAATGTCAGAAATCTGACAGATATATGGTTCCAGGGTCACTAGAGGGGAAATTTCATGATTTCATTTGTATTTCCATTTCTATCCAAACATTCGAAAGGATTTCTATGAACACTGTCTTGTTTATCACATCTGAAGTTATTTCTTCCCACACACTGAGCCAAACTATACTGTATAAGTTTAGTTTCTTTATCTAGTATTACTGTGAACTAAAGCATAGCTGAGTCAACTAACTATTAGGATTAGTTTGCATTGTGGCCAAAATTTCTGACTAGAAAAAACTACAATAAACTCTAGATTCACAAGTTTTGGCCCCATGGATACAACTAACCTCATAGAGCTAGAAAGTACATTTATATGAAACATGTACATACTTTTCTTTTTATCACTATTATGGTAAAGCACAAAAACCTACCCTATTTCATAGCATTTACATTGTATTAAGTGTTGTAAATAATCTAGAGATGATTGAAAATATATAGAAGTATGTTCATAGGTTATATACAACTACTAGGTCGTTTTACATAAGGGCTTGAGTATGCATAGTTTACTGGTATACCAGGGGATAGCAAGTAATAAGGTTAGGCAATTGAGCTCTGCATTAAAAGGTTAAAAGTAAAGGTTGAATGTATAGTCGGTTAATTCACTTGATATTAAACGAAGTTTGAGTACTTTGGGAATAGTATCTGAACACCTTTACTTTATTCCTTGTGAGAAAAGTTTACTACTTTGGTCCTCAGAATACCCTCACTGACTTCCTTTTAAGTTTTTCCTATATTTATATGGAAACATTTTCATTCAGCTAATTTAGTAATAATTTCCTCATGCTAAGAAAAGTTTACCTTAATAGATAAGTGTTTCTCCAGTATGCCAATGAAGAAAGTTGGTTATTTGAAATTAAAGCCACAACTAAGAAAAACAAGACCAGCCCATAGAGTATTTTACCAGTCTAATATTAAATATGTAAAGTATAACCATCTCTGCTGTGATAAAAGTAGCTCTGAATTATTAATGGGATTTTTGTTTGAAGATATAATTTATTTTAGCTTTTACATTTACATATTATTATTTCATTTGTGGCTTGGTATCCAAAATTTTTATTATAAAGTTACATGGAAATGTCAATATTTTTCAAAAGATTGTAATGGTAATAAATTTGACATGATTAATGTATTAAACTATCAATTAACAATATTTTAAGATCTGCCTAAAATATTTCTCCTTTTTCTTTTTATGTTCTTACATTTAGTTAATAAGAGCCCATGTCTTTATAATATAAATATATATGTATATAAATATATGTTCATTTGTATATACACTTTTTACTCAAATACACACACACATACAGGCTCAAAGCATTTCCTACTCATAATACAAAATAAGAATTTTAGGAAAAATGTTATAATCTTCTGTTTTATTACTTTGGATGTGAGCTCAGCTAAGTTATAACTTGAATTAATGGTTGAGATTTTACATAATAGCTATTAAGTTCTACCATAGGACTTCACTAGCACATGGACAGGGTGGTAAAGAGTTGGCTAGTCAAACCTCTGAATTGATTATGCATCTTCCTTTTAACTCTATCATTGTAATGTTTCCCTCTGTGTATACTTATTTAAACCTCAAATGTACTTCACCTGATCATTTTCTGTGTAATCATATCATTAATAGAATTTTGAACCTGAACATAATTTAGACTTCAATCAAAATTAATGAATTAGCCTGTGATATTTTATGCACATCATAATGTAGTGTATCTTGCAATATAATACCCAATAATTAGCAATATCCTATAAGAAACTTTAACCTTCCATTAAATAGTATTTGTTTTCTTATAATCAGAAAGCTACTCATGGATTTTTTTCTTCTTTATAACTAAATAAGATCATTTTAACCATTTTTCAGATTTGTTATGAAAGCTAATTTTTAACATCAATATGTGCATACACTTAGTAATTATACATTATAAAGGGCATTTTTAAAAATTAGTTACCACTAAGGAATACAAGTAAAATGTGTTGAAAATAATGTCATTTATCCTGCTATTGGTTCATGTAAAATGTTATAATTTATTTAACCGAGAATAAAATTTCCACGTCCATCTGCTGCTAGATAAATAAAATTTAATTAATTTTATGTAATTTATAGAAAGATAAGGATTTATGTAAAAATTGTAGGTGCTCTTGACCTTGCATGTGTATGAATTTAAAGTAAAGGAATAATTTTTTTTCTAAAAAGATAGATCTATTTAGCC